TTGCAGCCATTTGGAAAAAATGGAAAATAAGATCAACAGCAGCCTTGAACAGATTCTGAGGATTCTTGTTCCGGAAAGTGCTCAAATAAATTCATCACCGTCCGGGCATTCGCCAAACGATACCTCTAATCGAACGATGTACTCATCTCGCAGTGCCTCAGGGATTCATCCATTCAGGGTGCGTATATTCATCAGGTCTTTCTACTCCAACTTTTAAGTAATCCCCAGCAAGGACAGCTGAAGTAATGTGGGGAGGGGAGGAGGGGAAAGGCCAAAGCAGTAATCCTGACGAGGGATATTACAGTCTTCTTCCTGATAGTTTATCAGTTTTTAAAAAAATATAATTATGAGCTACTAGACAACAAAAATTTATGAGTGCTATGAAGACTTTCTTGTGCCTCGCTAGAAATTTGGATTACACATAATTTATATTTTATTTACCTACACTGCCCGTAGTGTATATATTTTTACATGCATTGCCATAGTAATGCATTATATTTCTCCGTATTTATTGAAATCCATCCAGAATTCCACCTTAGTTAATGGCGTGCCAATACAAGATGGAATTGCATATTTCGCATGTATTCCGACACTATTTGCATTACTATATTGTTGTTCTGTCATCATTATTATCATTATCGTTATTATTATTGCAGCTACGGTGACTGCCATTCTCAGTGTACTGTTTTACTACTAATATTACTAATCCTTATAATTATTATGATTTTGTATGGTATTATAATCAATATTATTATTGTCACTGTCATTATTATTGATATTATTATTTATACATTTATTTGTGTGCTACCAAGTAAACTGTCTGCTTTGCAGCTAGGGAACGGAAGTGAAGAATTGATGCCAATATCCAGGTTGCCGAGTAGTTCTGGCGGAACGGACGATGGTAGCAGTCCGCTTATGGGCGGTATTAGTCCGCTTGGTACCAGTTCACCTCTGTCCAGTCACCGTCCTGCGCAGCAGCCACGTCGCAGTCCCCGCTCTCCGCTGGCACCATCAACGCCGGGTCAGTCAACGCCAAACAGGTCCGACCTATCACCCGCAGATACCGACACATTGTTATAGCAGGAAAACTTCACTCCTCTTCGCCGCACCCCGCCTCCCATCCTTCCGAATCCTGAAAAACTTTCATCTCGCAGATAATCCATCATCCGCTTGTTCTCTCCGAGAACAGCTATGTTTTCGTTGTTATTTTAGCAGCGAATCTGCTGTCTTGTATGCTCAATCGACTACCGCAACATAAATAACATTAGGCAAATAATTTTTCTTTAATGAAAACTTTCCTTTTTAATTTAGGATTTTTCTGGTTTATGGCACCAGGTATGTCCAGTACAGTACTGAACTGTCCAGTACCAAACCAAGTACGGCGCTAAATTGTACAGTTTTAAACTAAGTACGGTACTAATCTCTTTGTGCTTTAGCGAATTCAAAGAAGCAACAGTTAGTCGCCTTGTGCTTCAGAAGAAGGCAACCAGTTTTATCAATAGCGAATATTCTAAAAAACTAGATCATTTCATTAAGTTTTTTCGAGCTTTT